GGAAGGGTCTAGTCCCGAAACGTCAGCCTTCCTGCTCCTCTGATGCTGTTTGGCCTGCTGTGTTCATTCAGCTCTACACCTTGTTATCTCAGCATTAATAAGGTGTTCCCCTAGTTAATTTCTCACCTTGAAAATGATCCTTTTATCCCAACTGTTTTGTTTTTAGTTCATGAATCCTCTTTCCATGCTGGTACATTGCCTGTGCCACTAAACTCTTGGCTTGTGCAGTAACTTATTAATGGGGCAGAACACTGACCCCAACAGTTTGGGCGAAGCATGTCCTGATGGTACAGCTTTCACTTTACCCAATACTGGTGCCAGTGTTCCATGAATCTAAACCTATTTCCCTCACCAATCTTTGATCCACACATTCACTTCTCTGGTCAGTCTTATCCAATGCTGTTTTGCTCATGACTTGGGAAATAACTCTGGGCCATCACCTTTTTGTGGTTCTACCTCTTAATTTAGTCCATTGTGTTTTCAAAAAAGTTCTTTCTCCTTGGCACAACATTTTTAAAGACCAAAATAAAAGACATCGTCCTTGCAACAGCCACTGCTGATTGTGAAAACCATTTTAACTGATTGCCTAATTAGATTCCAGAGGCAGCAGCTAAAGTGGCAGCCAAAGGCATAGTCCCTAAAGGAGACCATCAAAATTCTTAAGTGAGAAAGAAAAGAGTTTCTGTTCTGAAGCAGGGCCACCCTGATACAGGCATCTTTTACCACCAGTTTCATCAACTCCTCTGAATGAGAACTTTTGAGTATATGGCTACATGACATCTAACCTGATCTGCTACAGCAAACGTCAGGCTATCTCCTCCAGTGAGATGCAGATCACCATTCACGTAAAACACAACGTAGAACAGTACAGCACAGTACAGGCCCTTTGGCCCACGATGTTGTGCTGACCTATTATCCTACTAAGATCAATATACCCTGCATACCCTACATTTCAGTATCCTCCATGTGCCTATCCAAGAGTCACTTAAAAGTCTCTAAAGTATCTGACTCCACTACCACTGCCGGCAGCGCATTTCACATGCCCACCACTCACTGTGTGAAGAACCTACCTCTGACATCTCCCCTATACCGTCCTCCAATC